TATTTTGAGATAAGATCTTGTTAAGTTGCCCAGTCAGGACTTGAATTTAAGAACCTCCTGCCTCTGCTATCCCAGAACTGAGGTTACGGACATGCACCACAGCTCTGGCTGCAGGAAGGATCAGGTGAGCATGCTGGGAACGCTGAGTTTCAGGCTCTGTCCTTCATGGGAGGGGATTTACAGTGCATACCAACCTCTTCTGTTGTCACTGGTGAGCAGGGAGGCCCAGGAAGCAGCTGTCCCGAGGTGACTCTCGGGTCACAGAATTGGGCACAGTAAACAGGCCTGTGCAGGAAGCAGCCATGAGCATCCAAAGGACAAAGTTACAAAGGTAACCTTCCCTTCTGCCAACAGATCCTGTGCCTGGAATAGGGTCTGCTCCCATCCTCTGGCTCACATGATGCTGATGAGGACATGGCCCAGGCTGGGAAGTTCTTCATTCTTCTCTACCCAGGTGAGGCACTGTCCACCTCTCAAGTCAGCACAGGACACTCCTCAGCAGCCGCCCTAGTGCCATTCAGCATCAGCCAACTGTGATTATGGAAGCAAAGTGTTTCTGCCCGCCATGAGCTGTGAAATACCACACTCTAGTTTTGACAGCTCATCCCACAATCCCAGGTTCCTAGAATGTGGAGACTAGGGCCTAACTCTTTCTCTCGTTTTTCACAGGATTTTGCACACAGAGCAGTCGCTGTGCTGATGTCACTTTGTACTGAGGTTGGGATTAGGATTTTTCAGATCTACTATGATTTTCTCCGTATAACCCAAACATTCTTTCTACCACATCTACCCATTCTGACACTCTTCGAGGTTCTCACCCAATATCTGGTAAGAGCCAGAGTTGAGTCTTCTGGCCAGAATACAGATGTCACCCTCAGCGTCAGTGTTCCCCATGAGTTCACACCAAAAGAATCGCAGCAGCTGTTGGGGCTTGTGGAGGTGGTGATGACTCAATGAGACACAGGCTCGGGGTGCTCATGCCCTGACAACTGTGGGTGTGCTCTGCCAGAACTAACTCTCCTCAGGACATGCATGGCCTGCCGGGCCTGAGAAGGATGTGCGGAGCCAGGGAGAGGCAGCACGCCCACTGAATTGGCTCTGAGCTTGCTGGCCCATCTGGGAAATACTGTGGACCACCCCAGGCTGACCCCCAACAACTGTGACAGCAGTATCCCTCTCCCAAGCATGGAATGCCCCCAAAACAGGCTTCTGCTGGTCCCCCAGCGCTGCTTCCTATGTGCACATGCCCTGCCAGGGGCATTTGGAATTTGATTCTGCCCTCCTCTGAGGCCATCTGTCCACATAGAGTCTGGGCATATTTGCGACATTGACAAAGCAGCCACAACACCCTAAGCCCAAGCCACACCTGTTCCTCACTTTCCAGCCAAGCAGAGGGTGGACACAGGGCAGGCACAGAGACTCAGAGGGCAATGACAAGGTGTGCCATGAAATACAAGAGATTCTAGAGCACTCAGCACAAGGAGTCAGGGTCCTTTACTTTGAAAACATCAAATTGAACCAAAGAGAGAATTAGACTCTCAACTTAAGGTTCTCCATGAACAACTCTAGGAATAGTTCTGGATTCCCGCTGGTGCCAGAGACACTGCACTGGCTGACAGTCTGAGGACACAAAGAATAAATACTCCATGTTTTCTTTGTTATCACAATAGCTGTCAGTTCCCATCTCTAAAAGGAGAAATTACCTGTTCACATCATCAACACATGTCTATACTAGACAATTACAAGACTTTTTAAATCCTTTGGTCAATAAGTATTCAAGTTTAAGGATGATTCATTGGTTTTGTGAAGGCTTGAAGACTGTGTCTGAGGATAAGAGTTGCTGGTAGATGGTCAGCCATTGCCATTGCTGAGTGCAGGAGACTTCCTGCCCTAAGTAATAAAGTTCACAGTAACACTGTATCTCACGCAGCAGAGCCACTCTCATCTGCCTCTCTGTCTGTCACTCTTACTCTTTTTCCCTCCTATGAGATGAGCTGTCATACCTAAGCTATACAGAATTGTGCCATCAAGGAATTTAAAAGTCACATTTAAAGAACGTGTTCTCATAACCATCTGGTTTAGTATTTTTCAGAATGGGGTCCCAGAAGCCCTAGACACCAGAGAGTTTCCTAGGACCTTTTGCATGAAATACCAAGGAGGCCTGGGTCCCTGAGCACAGGCTACAGGGCAGTTGGTGAATAAAGGAATCCCACTGAGCACATGCATCTGATTATGTAACTACACAGCAAATGCGTTATCTTCCTACAGAGCTTTCAGCCAAAGATAATTGTTTGTATGTACTACTCACTCTCTTGCAAAAATTCTAAAATGTAAAATTGAACAGCAATTAATTTTTAGTAGCAGTAAATGCCCACACAAATATGAATGCACAAAAATTTCTAATAGGACCAAACCTAGGATCAAAGCACTTTTAAAACAATGACACCATCCATCATATGTTAGTACTTACTACTGCTCCTTCAAGTTCCCCTATTATGAATTGAGATTAAAAAGCAAAATCAGCGAATGAGAAGAATCAAGTATTTACACATTTTAGCAAAATGCTGTGTGCTCCTATTTCTGGGAAGACCATAGAAAAGTATTCACTTTCACTAGAACTTTCAACGAAGCAAGGATAGAGTTTAGCAGAGAAAAACTATCTGGAAAGCAAGACACTAAGAGATATAAGGACTTGAAAGCAGAGACATTATAGATCTAAGTAAAAGAAGCCAAACATGAAGACTGCAGATTCTGAGATTCCATCTACGTGAAATGTCCAGAGCCATAGAGACAGAAAGTTTAGGTTTCTTATGGCTGCTCAGATTGAAAGAGAAGGGAAGTGATGTGATGAAAATATCCTGAAATCAGACAGTGATGATGTTTGCACAAGTCTGTGGATAGACTAAAATGCCACGGAGTTACACACAAATTGCATGCGTCATTTCTATCCTAACAAAACAGGCTTATTAAAAACTCTGAAGAATGGCTGCTATCAAGAAATCAACCAATAACAAATGTTGGCAGGGCTGTGGGGAGAAAGGAACCCTTCTCCACTGTTGGTGGGAGTGCAGACTGGTGGAACTATGGAAATCAATATGGAGATACCTCAAAAAGCTAAGATTAGAGATTCCATTTGACCCAGCCGTCCCTCTGCTGGGTATCTTTCCAAAAGAATTAAAAGAATCATATCCCAGTTATATATGCACACCCATGTTTATAGCGGCAGTTTGTAATAGCTAAAACTTGGAAACAGCCTATTTGCCCATCAATTGGAGACTGGATAAAGAAGATGTGGATTTTCTATAAAATGGAATACTACTCAGCCATAAAGAATGAGAAGTTAGAGTCATTCATAGGAAAATGGATGAATATTGAGGATATACTCTTAAGTGAAATAAATAACTCACAAAAGTATAAATACCAAATAGCTTCTCTGGTGTGAAAAACTATAATTGTACATAATATCCTAATGGTATAATTGACAATGTGAAATAGGAAGAAAACCGCTAAAGGTGTAGGAGAAGTGGGAAGGGTAAAGGAAAGGAAATAAGGGAAAAGAAAAAAATATGAGAAAATGAAAAAACGGAAATAAAGTGTTTGTAAACAGGGAAGGGAAGAAGGGGTGAAGGGAGGGCAGGGGTAAGGGGGGAAAATGAAAAGCAAGACCTGTCATGTAAAGGTACAAGATCCCAATGACGAATGTAACTGTACTGTACACCTAAAATGTACCAATAAACTCAATGAGGAAAAAAAAAACAGAAACTCTGAGCTCAGTGGGTAATTCCAATGAAAGAAAAGCGTTGAAATAAAAGAAAACAGAAAGACAGAACCAGTTAAACAGGGCTTTCTTTCCAGTGATTTTTAAACTCTGTAACAGAGGACTGGTATCTGATGCTTTTTGTATCCCTTACGCAGAACCAAGCTCAACATATGTAGAGTTTGCCTAACTGACCACTGTGAGTTATGGTGGGGGCATCATGAGCTGACCTTGTGAAGGTTATAAAGACAGTAAACCCCTCCATCCTGTTTCTCCCCTGGATCTGTCCCTGCACTGTCACAGAGGCACTGGAGGATGTCATTCTGATCTAATGTCATAGTACAGCACAGGCTTGGACCATTTGGTCCCAGCCATACTGAAGTCCGTCTGCTTTCCTAGAATTGCTGTCTTCACAAATACCAACACTGTACTTTTATTTTCATGATAGTCATCTTTTGCTTCCTAATTAAATTTTTAAAAGGCTTAAAATGCACAAGATTTATCTATTCAATTATTTCCTTCTATTTGTAGTATGATCATTTTATCAGGAATGAATATCTGGAAAGCTGACTAAACTAAATGCCGGTTTAAACAGAAGAAAATATGTTTAAATAATACAGATAAACCGCAATTAAGAGAGCGGAGCCAGGTGCAATGGCACCTGCCTGTAATCCCAGAACACTGGGAGGCTGAGGCAGGAGGATCACAAGTTCGAGCAATTTAGCAACTTAACGAGATCCTGTCACAATAAATAAATGAAAAATACATAAATAAACAGAAAACTGAATGACAATGTAGAAAATGGTTGTTTTTACTTATGATAAATAAATCATAAGGATATGTTTATAAAAAGTATGGTAACAGGACTGTATTTTGAACAGTACACAAAAAGTGAATTTGTATCCTGAGATATTATGGAGCAACATCTTATGACCCCTATTTTACAGACTGAGAATTAACAGGGCAAGAGAGATCAGGGCTGTTACAGAGCTGAGAGTGAGTCTGTCTGCGCTCATCTGCGTTCTCGCTCCCATGACGGAATCAAATGGCAGCCGTGGCCCTGACGGCCAAGCTTGTTAGTACTTGGACGAGGAGACTCTGGGAAAGCAGGAAAACAGAGCCAGCACTCCCAAGTAATGGCTGTGGCCTTTGGTGCACCCTACAACTGGAGGGCTGAAGTGGGGATCAGCATCTAAAGCCGGGAGCTGTGAAGCTGCAGACGCAGCCTTGGCTGGACACGTACCTGCGGTGATGTAGGAGCCCCCGCCGGCTTTGTAGAGCAAGTGACTGGAGAAGGGGGCTGCACAGATGATCAGGAAGCTGGCGGTCACGACAGCCACCACCCCTAGGAGCATCAGCACTGCCCAGAAACCACGGTAAACTGGAGCCCCCGAGAAAGGAGGAGAGAAAAACACATTTAGATTGTGGACACAGCAGACTGTCCTGGGCAACTTGCTTTGCCCCATTTGCCTAATGTCAGTCATAGCAGCGCTAGATAGAATTCCAGGCTGCAGGTCCTGAATTATCTATATCAGGAGTTCTTATCAGATGACCTTGGGCTCAGAGACATCCATGCTGGTGACCTTCAATAACCCAGGCGCTTGGAATCTGTGCCCCACACATGCTGCATACAGGACAGGGCTTATTTTCAGACCAGATTTCCCATTTTGTAAGTGGGAATTCCCAGAGTTCTTCCCAGTGTGGTCACACATACCTGTCTCACACCAAATGCAAACACAAAAAGCATTTGCATTATTTACAAACACTGCCTTGCGTTTTCTGCTAGGATGGTGTTTGTAATTATGAAAGCTGAGTAATAAATCACCCCAAGCCCCTAACCAAAAAGGACACTTTTATTTAAACCATGGCTCAGCTGGAAAATATTCCAAGGAAATTAAAAAATGGCCAGCAAAACCATAAATAAAGTTTGTACAGCTCTGCTTTCTAAGCAAATCTAAAATTTTATTCAGGTATAGTTAATATCACTTTCAATTAATATTTATACTTAGAGTCAAATTTAGAAATTTGGGAGTCTCTTAATCAAGGACAAGCAAGGCTTAATTAATGGACGCAGCTGGTGATAAATGGACTGTGGGTTTGGTGATATGTAGTAATCGAAAGAAAAGGAATTTTAATGATCATTATTGAGCTGGATAATTACCAATCTATTAAAGAAATTCATCATTTCTCTTAGGCACTGTATTAAAATGAATGCTTGTTGTGTAAATGGGAAAAGTTCAACAGTCAATTTGGCGCTGGTAAAAAATGTCTTATAACTTTTTAAAGAAAATATAGCAATTTTATTGAAAAGCCAAAAATTATTTTTCTCAACAAGCTTGCCTTCCAAGATGAAATACATCCATCTCCTAGCACCTTAGAGAGAAGAAGATGGGAAGGAAAACCGTGGAGAAGAGAAGGCACCACAGTTAAGTGGGAAAGGAAGGCTGGAGGTCCTGTGCGGCTGAGTAAGCCCTGCAGAGAGGGAGGAAAGGGCAGCTCTTCCCCATGCACCAGCCCTGCCCACTGGGTTAGCTTCCACGTCTGGCCAATTTGGGAGCATCCTGCAGTTACAGGGCTCAGCGGGAGCATAGCACCAGAAAGACACAGTTGTCCTCCAAATGCACAGGTCCTGTGTCAGAGGATACCAGGCTGAGATAGAAAATGCTTGAAAAGAAATTGCATCTGTAATGGCAATGTACAGAATTTTCTTAACATTATACCCTAAACACTACAGTGAAACAACTATTTATACAGCCTTTGTATTGTGTTAGGTATGCAGGAGCATGTGTGTAAGTTCTTTGGAAATTCCGCACCATTTTATAGAAGGGTCTTGAACAGTGCAGATTTTAGGATCCCTGGGTTCCTCAAATACATCCTTTATGGATAGTAAGGGACAACCATGTTAATGCCAGCTCTGAGTGTGCGGAGTGAGAGTAGAAGACTGTGGACCAAATATCTGCCATCCCTGTCCTACCAGAGTTTATTACATAACTGATGGACCTCACACTTTTTATTTTCACTTCCCCTCGTTTACGAAAAGCTTGGGGCAGAGACATTGAGAAGTGGCCCAAGGAATGAGCAGCCCATTGGTCACTCTTAAATCACAACAAAACCTGGTTAAGAATGACAATATCTATCTGAGGAGTAAAGAGTGAGTAACAGGAAGTGATGGAGGAGGGAAGTCAGGCCTTAAAGGAAAGACCAACTCAGCTTCATAGTGTCTATGATTTTTCTTGTTCTTTTTTTTTTCTTTTGTTTTTCTTTCTAGGTTTGGCCTGAAGGCAAGTCAACTGAGGAACTGTGCAAAAGATATGAATAGCAAAAAAAAAAAAAAAAGGAAAAAGAAATCATCATTCTGGCCAGAGATCCAGGAAAGGGGCTCCCTGCAAGTGAGAGTAGAAGATAATCATCATGTTTATTCTTCTCCCTCTCCGTTTTTTCTTTTTGTTGTTTTTTTGTTTGTCGTTTTAGTTTGTTTTTTGTTTTTTCCTTTTTTATCCTGCCCCAGTTCAGCTTCAGAGATGTATCTACAGGCAGGAGAAAGGGCTTTCACTGTACCACCATAGAGGTATCTGAATGATGCATTCTCTGTTTTGTCTCCTATGGCACAACTGCATGGAATTGCCACCCTATGGGAGGACAAAACTAATCCAAAACTAATCCAAAAACTTTCCCAGCTGGAGAAGCTGGGAAAGAGCCCTTAGAAGCCAAAGATGTGAACGAAAGCCATGGGGAGAGAGCTGCAGAAGAGATTCTGAAGATCTATGTTTGAACCTGCACAAGCACCAAGTTCACCCCCAATTTGCACAGGCACAGAAAACGTCTAAAGAAGTAGAGCAAAGATTTAGAGAATTGAATCACAGCACAAAAACCACTCAGGACCAGGTCCTGAGTGAGGCACACCCTACACATACAACACACAAGACAGAGGCCTTGCAAAAGGAATTGGCATTCAGAAACCTATTCAGGACCCCTCCTATCTCTCAGGAGCTACTTCTGTTCCCCCATAAATTTTCCTAAGCTTGACCTCCAAAAATTTTAAAAAAAAAACAAGCAAACAAACAAAAAACACTGCACCACAAAAGCAAAAGACAAAGCAGGAAACTCCATTGCTTGTTAAAACAGGAACAAATCCAAATTCTCCAGAAAACTTTGACAGTATGAGAAGTCAGATGCTGTCATATTCAAAGATGACTAGAATACAACCTAAAATTACCTAATATATCAGCAACCATGAAAATGTAACAGATTCTCAAAGGAATAGGCCATCAGAAAACTGCCAACCCATAGATGATCCTGATTGTGAGTTATCACACGGGTTTTAAAGCAGCTATTAAAACCACTTTCTACGAATCCTCCAAATGAACAGAAAGAGAGAAATTCTTGAAGAGAAACAGTCTACAACAAAAGAATTACATTGAACTTTTTAAATCAGAAAGACAATATCAAAAATTTTATAACTGATGACAGAATGGAGATGAAAGAAAATAGAGTAAGTGGCCCTGAACAAAAAACAATAAAAACACGCAAGCACAAGGTCCAGAGTTCAATCCCTAGTACAACAAAAAAAAATGTTTTAAAAAATTAGAAACTGTCCAATAGGAATAGAAGCAAGGAAAAAATACTGAGGGAAAAGTAGAGTACCAGAGACTTAGAGGACAAAATCAATAGTTCTCACATTTCTATCATTAAAGTTCATAAAGCAGAGGCAAGAGCAAAACAGTCATAAAAATAATGCCTAGCAAATTTACCAATATAGGAAACTCCAAAGGGAATAAACACAAAAAAATTATCCTGGACACAGAAATATACTATAGACAAAGTCGTGAAAGCTGGCTGCCTTCTAAGAAATCACTGGCCATGTTGTTCAGTGTAATTCTAATCATAAATACTTAAAATATGAAGAAATGGAAGCAGCAGCCCACACAAAGGCAGCTAATGTTGCTCTCTGGCCCGGGATTTCTGACCACAGCTCATCAGGGGAACTGGAATAAAGAGCGTGATCTCTGGGAGCAGAGAGGGGACCAATAGTACAGGTGGCACTGACAGGAAGCCCTGGTAGCCGGATCGATAAAAGTCAGGATGAGTGGAAGTCAACAGCTCTGGAATAAGGAATCAGGACACACAGAGGGCAGAGTAAGCGTCTACATAGGGAGAAGAGAGGACATGAGAAAGAGAAAACACATGGTGAGGAGAGAGAGCAGAACAGAAATAGGGAACAACTGTTCCCCAGAGCTGCCAGCAGCTGTTCCCTGTCCTTTCATTTGCTCTTGCAAAATAAGCTGACTTTTGATTGTGACTCTTCCTTGGTCAGAAGCAGGAGCAACAGATGGGTATTTAAAGGAAAGAGTAGTGCTGGTGCCTGGGGTTTGATCGCACAGAAATAGCCTCTGAGTCAGATTGTAAGTGTTGTTGCCATGGGTTTTACTTTCCTGCCCATGTTTCTAACACTCCAAAGTGCATACTTTCAAGCATATCACAACATTTCTTGGAGTTTCCTGTTTTCTTAGCTGATTATGTTACATAGTTTTTGTGTGTATCACACTTTGCTTCCAGAATTAAAACATTCAGTCATAATGAAGAATGGGCTTGTGGAACTGGGTAGAGTTCAGTCACTATTTAAAATAAAACAGACAATCAGAGAATCTTCGACATGAAAAATTAAATGCATGTGCTTTGGAAGTCAAGTGTGACATGGAGGCACCTCTGGGTGCTGATGAGATCACTCTGCTAGATCTCATTATCTAACAGGGGAGCAATATCGTACATAGGTTCACAATGAGGCTTAGTTGAGATAATATATGAATAGTGGCTGCTTGCAGTAAGCCACCAAATAAGTTTGCTGTGATTCCTATTAGTTATCTCCTCTCAAAATAAAACGCTCTTGTCTTGACATTAACATACATCTTTAAATCTCATGACCTAGGACGGGGATATTCAAATACATATGTCTCAGAATTTCCCTAGGCTTTCTGTGTGTGTGTGTGTGTGTGTGTGTGTGTGTGTGTGTGTGCCTGTGTGTGTGCAGTTTTATGGAGGGAAGATATTATTTTCTGGGTAATGTTTTATGTTGTTTCAAACTTGTAGATCTGGAATGTATCTTAGAGACATCTGTTTCCTTATTCGTTACAAGAATCTATAAAAATTGTACAACCTTATCATTGATGGATTTGGACTGTGCCAGGAAAAATAGCCCTAAAAATCCACTTCATGTAACTCACTACTCCTACTAATTTCTGTTGGTACAGGAAGCAAGATTTATAACATAAATGGATTTACAGATTATCTGCATCAGCACAATTTGAGTTAATTAGAGGAAAGTTTCATCTGAATCCATGAAAAGTAAGAACTAAAGAGTACTTTCAAAGAAGTTAAATTTTG